AGGTTGCCTTCTGCAGGGGGGCGCGGCTGCTTTGGCAGGGCAAGCAGGTAGCTCTCTGCACTATATCCTGCTTTTTTTTTTTTTAGGGGTTGCACGAGGTGTGGCATGTGGACAAGGGCACGAGGGCTGAGACAACCTCATCTCTTATTCTCCACAGGTCAAAGCCCCTTGCTCCAGCTACTACTTCTCGCCCAAAGGGTAGAAGATGCGCCTCTTGCCACCTCACGCTGTTGCCCTCTTGGTCGAAGCCCTTGTGCCAAGGATGTGTGGAGAAGCTGGTATCCAAAGAGTCAGCTGGGATGTTTAAAGGGTCTTATGAATACCATGAGGGAGGAAACGGTCTCTACCGTTCAGTCTTTCCGGTCTGTCATTCCGAACACAGGGCCTATTTTGGGGGGGGGCAGAGCAATCCGGGTCTATCAGGTGAGGGTTGCTCAAGTGTCTACACTGGCAGTGGAGAGGCACCCGGTGATAGTTTCCGATTCCCCACAGAGGCCAAATGATCAGTCTGAGGAAGGATCGGAGGTAGATATTCAGGTACCAAAGAGGACCAAATACCCGTTTTCCTTCCTTTGAGTCCGGAGAGTTGCTAAAGGCCATTTGGGATACCTGAGGGTTGAAGGAGGTGACGCCGCCTCCAAGGCGAAGCTTTGCGGATTGCCCTTTAAGGGGGATCTGCTTTTTGGACAAGAACTGGAGACTGTGTTGGATAGGTCTGCAGACAGGAAAAAGAGGTTTCCCCTGCCCAAGAAACAACAACAAAAGAAAAAGTTTTTTTCGGGGGGCAAAACTTTAAGAAAGTTAAGGGGCGGGAACAGCCCAAAAGCTGGGCCTTCAAAAGAGGGAAGAGTAAGAGTGGCTTCCTCTTTAACTTGCTCAACCTGGGCCCAAACCACAGTGACGCCATGACCAAGGTGGGCGGAAGGCTGGGGGACTTCCTCCCATGTCGGGCAGCAATGTAGGACAACAAGTTCATCCTGGGACTTATAAAATCGGGGTACAGGATAGAATTGATAGGTCCGCCCCTCCAGATATTTAGTCGCATCACTCGCCAGGGATCCAGAAAAGGTGAGGCTGATGACGGTGTCCGTTCAAGACCTGCTGGACCAAGGGGTGATTGTGCCAAAGCAGGAAGAAGGGAGGGGGTGTTATCCTCATCTGTTTTCACGGATGAAACCCTCTGGAAAAGGCCGGGTGATTTTGAACCTGAAACCTTTGAACGAGGTGGTGCGTTACCAAAAGTTCCGTATGGAGTCAATCTTCTCTTTTAAGGGACTTGTTACCACAAGGGGCGTTCTTGGCAACGATAGATCTCAGGGATGCGTATTTTCACATCCCGATACAGAAGTCCTCTCCAGAAACTTCTGCGGTTTGCGGTCAGAGGACCGGCTGGAGTTCTCCATTTTCAGTACCAGGGCACTGCCCTTTGGACTGTCGTCCGCACCAAGGATTTTTACCAAGGTGCTGGCAGAAGCCTTTACCCACTTGAGGGCGAGAGGAGTAGGGGGTCCTGCCGTATTTGGACGACCTTTTATTTTTTGCCCCTTCGGGGGACCCCCTGAGATTGGAACTCGCCATCAGCCACCTGGAGCATTTGGGGTGGTTACTGAACAGGGAGAAGTCCCAGTTGGTCCCTTTGTAAACTGAAATATTTGGGGTACTGGATAGATACCCGCAATGGGCTGATTTCTCTTCCTCAGTAGAAGGGTCTCCTGCTGGGTGCAGAAGCACTGAGCCTTTATCTAGCGAAGGAGGCACCCTGCAGATCATGTCATGAGGGTTCTGGGGCTGATGACATAGGCCATGCCGGCTGTCTTCTGGGCGCAACGGCACTCCAGGCCTCTTCAGAACTTGCTCTTGAGTCAGTGGGGAGGAGGATCAGAAGGTCTGGACAGGGGGTTGGTCCTAACGGACCCCGTCAGACAATCGTTGCTTTGGTGGACAGACCGTCGGAACCTTGGGGGAGGCAGGTTGTGGAGTCAGCCAGGACCTCTCAGGGTCACCACGGACACCAGCGCGTGGGGGTGGGGAGCCCACCTTCAGGATCTCATGTGCCAAGGGGCGTGGGATCATGTCTGGCGGCACGGGTCTTCAAACATGAGGGTATTGAAAGCCGTGGGCTTTGCCCTCTTGCATTTTCAACATCGGCTAGCAGGGACTCGCGTTTTAATCTTGTCGGACAAACCCACAACAGTGGGGTACATAAACCGGCAAGGGGGCACGAGATCACAAACTTTGACGTCCTTAGCAGACTCAATCCTCTCCTGGGCAGAGACAAATCTCCAGTCATTAAGGGCGGCCCATTGGAAAGGAAGTTTGAATGGCCTAGCGGATTCCCTCAGCAGGAGGGAAGTGAGTACAGAATGGTCTCTAGACTCCCAAACCTTCCAGGGGATAGTCAGGACTTGTGGACTTTTCTTGCTTCAGCAGCAAACAAAAAGATGGACAGAGGTCTGGGGGTGGACGCTTTTGCCCACCCTTGGAAATTCCGGTTGGCGTATGCATTCCCCCCCTCCCCCCCCCCAGCACTTGATTCCAAAGGTTATTCGGAAGCTAGAGAGGGAAGAGACTGCATTAGTGTTGGTCACCCCATTCTGGCAGAAGAGACCTTGGTTCACGGCACTGCTGGATTTGAGCAGGGACACCCCTTTGCCTCTTCCTTTTGAAGGAGGATCTTTTGATGCAGGGTGTGGTGCGTCACCTACAGGTACAAGCACTGCGTCTAACGGCCTGGTTACTGAGAGGGACATCTTGGCGGGTAAGGGTCTCTCTGAGAAAGTAGTGTCCACTCTCCTTCGCAGCAGGAAAGCCTCCACAGCAGCTGTTTACCACAAGGTGTGGAGGGTTTTTTCCCGCTTGGCGGAAAGAAAGGGGAGGTGCCACTACTGGGACGGTGGCACGGTTTTAGAATTCTTACAATAAGGATTAGATGGGAGCCTTGCTTGCAGCACTCTGAAGGTACAGGTGTCAGCCTTGTCCAATTGTCAGGCTTGCTGAGGTGCCCCTTGAAGATTCCTGAAGGCGGCAGAGAGATTGAGACCCCCCCAAAGGTTAAATGTTTTTCCGCACGGGACCTGTCCGTAGTGCTGCAAGGGTTTCCCCGGACCACCTATTGAGCCGATCACGGACTGTTCCATCAGGGCAATCGCTTTGAAAGTAACGCTCTTGGTGGCCCTGGTATCTGCCAGGAGAGTGCGTGAGATTCAGCCCTATTGTACGATCATGTCGGACAGGATTGTGCTGCGGCCTTATCCAGCCTTCTTGCCGAAGGTGGCCTCTACATTTCATAGGACGCAAGAGATGGCCATCCCTTTTTTCCACTAATCCTAGGAATGATACGGAGAAGGGGATGGCAGGGCATAGATGTGAGGGGATGCATGCTGGGATATCTGTCCAAGACTAGTGATTTGGAGGAAGTCGAGTAACCTTTTCGTCTAGTTCCAAGGACCAAAGAAAGGCAGTAGAGCTTCCAAAAGCACTATAGCTAGATGGATTAGGGTTGCCATTTCCGAGACTTGCCAATCTCGGGGGAAAGGGCTACCCGAGCATTGCACGGCGCATTCCACCAGAGCGTGGGGCTACCTCTTGGGCGGAGAGAGCAGGGGCAACACCAGATCACATCTGCAGAGCAGCCACCTGGTCCAGCTTCCAGACATTCGTCAGACGCTACAGGCTTGATCTGCTGGCTCATCGGGACCAAGCTTTTGGCAGGAAGGTCCTGTAGGCAGTAGTCCCACCCTAAATGAGTAAGCATGGTTCTCGCTAATCTTCTCATTGGCTGTCCTGGAAGATGACTGGGGAAAACATGAGTTAGGAACCTGGTAACTCTGTTTCCAGGAATCTACCAGGACAGCAAGTTCCCTACCGACGTTGAAAATTAGGGACGTGCTGGACCCTGAAGGATCGGGCAATATGAGGGTTTTTTTAAAAGACAAAGAAGGTGTTGAGTGACTACTCATGTGACGGCCTTCTGTCTTTAAATATTAATGAGGTGGGTTTGTAGGAGTGTCTTTTTATCTAATGTGGATGATGTGTTTCCTGTTTCAGGCGGGGGAAGCTCTCTCGCTCTCTTCTCCCCTCTCTCTCTCTCTCTCTCTCTCTCTCTCTCAGTGGCTGTCCTAGAAGATTCCTGGAAACAGAGTTACCAGATACCTAACTCATGTTTTCTCCATTGTACCGGTCCTTGTAGTATGCTCATGTCCTTTCTCCTCCGCAGACTGGAAATCCAAATATCTGGCATCTGTGAAAGAGGTCTTCCGAGGTATTGAAGAACATGCCTCCGGTCCGGGGAAGATTGGAGGTCTTGAGCAAAGATATCCCAGGCTCCGCTGCCTCCAGGTTACTCGGGAGGAAGGAAGTACAATACCTTATTCTGGCACTTTACTTGAACAGGCCGAGGTGACCAAGTCCTTAGACCAATATTCCCCGTCCAATGTCCAGGACCTGTTTGTTCCTGACGGCAGCGGTTTTGTTCCTAAGACTCTGGTGTTGGTGGGGCCTCATGGAATCGGTAAAACGATGACATCACAGAAGATCATGTTGGATTGGGCCTCTGGAAGCCTATACGCAGACACATTTAATTTTGTGTTTTATTTAAGTGGCAAAGAAATTAATAAGATTGAAGGAAATGTCAATATCGCTGGACTGGTGGCCCAAAGCTCCAAGATACAGTGCTCAGAAGGCTTGATCAAGTCGGCTTTCACTGATCCTTCCAAAGTTCTTCTGGTTTTTGATGGGTTTGATGAGTTGAGGTGGACCCTGGAAGATAACTATGAGGAATATGTGGGTCTCCTGAAAAAGGTCACCAAAGAAACTTTCCTGAGATGCTTATTTAGCAAAGATATCCTTGATGGAACTTCCATGATCATCACAACCAGATCCATGTGCCTACGGAAGATGAAGGACTTTGCTCAGTCCCCTTGTTCTATTGAACTTCTGGGCTTTTCAGACCGAGATCTCCAACAATATTTCCATCGTTTCTTTGAGAACAAAGATGAGGCAGACCAGGCTGGTTCTGTGATGAAGGAAAATGAAGTTCTGATGGGTTTGTGTTCGGTCCCTTTGACCTGTTGGCTTGTCTGTACTATACTGAAGGCAGGAATGAAGAGCGACCTTAGCTCAGCAAACTGTAAAACGCTCACCTCGGTTTATCTGCTTTATCTGGAGAGCTTGCTAATGAATGAAGGGAACAAGCAGCCGGTACTGGAGTGTCTGAAGAAACTATGTGCCTTGGCCAACGAAGGCGTCTTGGATCAGAAAAGCTTGTTTGATGTGGAAGATCTTGGAAGGCATGGACTGACTCCATCAGAGGTAGCTTCTGTGTTCCCAAATGACGGCATTCTCCACAAGGATGCTAAAGACTCCACCCACTACAGTTTCCTTCACCTGAGCGTTCAGGAGTTCTTTGCTGCTTTGTATTATGTGTTGGGCCAGGACGCCGAGGTTAAAGAGATGAACGGGGCAAGTGGAGATACTTTCCTCCCAAAAGTCTGCAAGGAAACATCTCTGTGGCTTCAGTCTGAACTTCACCCACACCTGAGCTCAACTGTCCGGTTCCTCTTTGGTCTCCTAAATGAGAAGCGGTTACAGAAGTTTGCTTGTGGCGTCGGGTCTAAGGCGTCTGTACGAGCTAAACCTGCCATGGAAAAATGGCTGACGGCCGGGAAACCCTCCAGATTCTGCATTGACGCGCTAGCTTGTGTCTATGAAGCTCAGGATGAGGAGCTGCGCAGAGGAGCGTTCAATGGCCAAGATTTGGTCTTCCAGTTGTGTTCCTTCTATTCAGCCATGGTGAATGTATGTACCAGAGAGATGCTGTACTGTCTTGCAGGCCGGGAGAGCTTTGGCTCCATCACCCTAGAAGATCACCTGATACGACCCAAAGATTTCGAGTTGCTGTCTCCTCTCTTCCATAGATCTTCAAAGCTTTCGTAAGTGTTCTAGCTTCTGTAGTCTGTTTACCTCAAAGTACCATTTCTGAAACACTTTCCTTGCTGGAAGGCCTTTTATCATGTAGGACATTATGAACACGGTCACACCAATCCCCATTTCTTGTATGACTGGTGGCCAATGTGCTGCTTTATTCCAGAGCCAATGGTCTGCTAACATCCCGGCTGTAGTCTCTTCTTACCAGAGGCCATGTAATGATATCACCACTGGTTATAGTGGGAGGGCCTGGGTGTCTCACCACTGGTTAGAGTGGGAGGGCCTGGGTGTCTCACCACTGGTTAGAGTGGGAGGGCCTGGGTGTCTCACCACTGGTTAGAGTGGGAGGGCCTGGGTGTCTCACCACTGGTTAGAGTGGGAGGGCCTGGGTGTCTCACCACTGGTTAGAGTGGGAGGGCCTGGGTGTCTCACCACTGGTTAGAGTGGGAGGGCCTGGGTGTCTCACCACTGGTTAGAGTGGGAGGGCCTGGGTGTCTCACCACTGGTTAGAGTGGGAGGGCCTGGGTGTCTCACCACTGGTTAGAGTGGGAGGGCCTGGGTGTCTCACCACTGGTTAGAGTGGGAGGGCCTGGGTGTCTCACCGCTGGTTAGAGTGGGAGGGCCTGGGTGTCTCACCGCTGGTTAGAGTGGGAGGGCCTGGGTGTCTCACCGCTGGTTAGAGTGGGAGGGCCTGGGTGTCTCACCGCTGGTTAGAGTGGGAGGGCCTGGGTGTCTCACCGCTGGTTAGAATGGGAGGGCCTGGGTGTCTCAGACTTGGTCTGTCATGCCCATGGAGCTCTGGCTGGCTAAGCAGTGTAAAGAGAAGAATATCCAACAGTCAATATTCAGCAGTTTGTCTTGAACTTGTGTTTGGCTCTGAGAGGTCATTGCATTTTCTTTCTCCTCCAGCTTTGTACGGTGCGGCTTTGCTGAGGACACCGAGACTGGTGGGAAGGCCTCCTGGCTGTCCAACCCAGGCAGCAAAATCCAAGATCTAGAGTAAGTTTGTGACCTCCTTTTCATCTTCCCTTTCAAAGAGGAAGTCTGTTCCCTGTGCTGGGGATTGCTGGTGGAGCTCAACAAAGGGGAGGAGTCAGTAGACATTGGGCTTTTCTACTGTTAAATGCTTTAACTTTTATTCTTCTGCTCTTCTTGCAGGTTTCATGTCTGTGTGGTATACATGGGTTAGGTCTGATGGGTACGTTGTATGAAGGACATGGGGTGAGGACTGATGGGTACGTTGTATGAAAGACATGGGTGAGGTCTGATGGGTACATGGGGTGAGGTCTGATGAAGGACTTTTGGTGAGGTCTGATGGGTACGTTGTATGAAGGACATGGGTGAGGCCTGATGTGAACGTTGTATGAAGGACATGGGGTGAGGTCTGATGGGTACATTGTATGGAGGACATGGGTTGAGGTCTGATGGGTACATTGTATGAAGGACATGGGGTGAGGTCAAATGGATACATTGTATGGAGGACATGGGGTGAGGTCTGATGGGTACATAGTATGAAGCACATGGGTGAGGTCTGATGGGTACATTGTATGAAGGACATGGGGTGACCATTGTAATCTTCTGGCCAAGAGCAGTAGATTTGTCTGCAGGCTGAACGACTGCAACTTGACTGCCGCAAGCTGTGAGCACCTTGGCTCTGCTCTTAAAGCAAACCGATCCCTACACAAGTTGGATCTGGTACTGAATGAACTTAAGGATGAGGGAGTGAAGTTTCTATGTGAGGGGCTGAAGGATCCCGGCTGTACTCTGCAGGAGCTGAGGTGAGCCCTCCATCATGCTGGTATCTTACAATGACAGATCTGCAGGAGTTTGTTTCCATTGGCAGACGTTTCCGCTGGAATAAACTCTGGACTCTGGAATAAATGCCTAAACCTCTAAATCCAAAAAAGTTCCAGCTTTAGATCCTGTAAATTCTAGAAGTGTTTATCGGCTGTAGTCTGGATAGTGAGACTATGCCATATAATTTATCATGGAAGCTCTAACTGGACTTGTCCTTTCCAGGATTGAATTCTCAGAGCTTTCTCCGGCCTGTTGTGACTACCTCCACTCTCTTCTGATGACCAATCGAACTCTCACCACCCTGTACTTGAGAGAATGCAACATCCAGGACACAGGGGCCAAGCGGCTGTGTCAGGCCCTCTGTAAGCCAGGCTGCACTCTGGAGAAGCTCGGGTAAGGTCTGCTGGGTACATTGTATGAAGGACATGGGGTGAGGACTGATGGGTACATTGTATGAAGGACATGGGGTGAGGTCTGATGGGTACATAGTATGAAGGACATGGTGTGAGGTCTGATGGGTACATAGAACGGAATACTGATGGTCCATTAATGAATCTGGTCATGTGGTCTTGTTCCCTCTGTGCAGGTTGTTTGAGAATAACATAACCGGCTCGTCCTGTGAAGATTTCCGATTGGTTCTTCTTAAAAACCGGACTTTAACCACCCTGCATTTGACTTACAACAAACTACAGGACTCTGGAGTAAAGCTGCTTTGTGAGGGGCTGCGTGACCCAGGCTGTACCCTACAGAAGTTGCTGTAAGAATCCTGCAGATGGGGCCCTATGATTGGTGCTGAGCCTGGGAGTCCATTGGGTTTTATATTGATGTCTCTTGTTTACAGATTGACTCAGTGCGAGCTGACCCCGGCCTCCTGCGAGGATCTCCGCTCAGTCTTGGTCACAAACCGATCTTTGACCAAACTGAAACTTACCTGGAATAAACTCGGGGATTCTGGAGTCAAAGTTCTGTGTGAAGGACTACGAGACCCGCACTGTACCCTGCAAGAGCTGGAGTAAGACTTCTACTATAACCTGTTACATGGACACTGTACCTGTGTATAGTTACCCTTCAATAAGTACAACTTCCTGTCGGCTTTATTCATCATCAAGCGGTATGTTGTATTGATCTGATGTGACCCGGTCTGTGTAGCTCACCTATCAGACAATTCCTCTACAGCAGGGGGGCCCATAAGGTCCTGTCCTCCTGCCGTGGTGCTTCTCTGGATCCTCGCTGATCTCCCCCATCTGTATGCAGCGGGGATCCGAGGAGAAGCGAAGGAAGCGCTGCAGGCGGAGGAGGGAGCCGCTATCACAGCAGCACACCGAGCGGTGAGGAGAGAGCTCTCTCCTCACCGCACATGCTGTTGTGATAGCGGCCCCCCGTGGCTGAAGTGCTTCCCTCGCTTCTCCTTGGATCCCCCTCTGCCCGGGAGAGCAGCGGGGATCCAGAGGAGAAGCTGAGCCCTCGTGTGTGAGGCCGAGCGGCAGAGGATCGGTACATATCCGTGATATGGATCAATCCTCTGTGCAGGAAAAACACTGGAGCGATCAGTGTTTGGTCCTTGTATGTAGGGGGCTGTAGTTACCTAGGTCCTTGTATGTAGGGGGCTGTAGTCGCCCAGGTCCTTGTATGTAGGGGGCTGTAGTTACCTAGGTCCTTGTATGTAGGGGGCTGTAGTCGCCCAGGTCCTTGTATGTAGGGGGCTGTAGTTACCTAGGTCCTTGTATGTAGGGGGCTGTAGTCGCCCAGGTCCTTGTATGTAGGGGGCTGTAGTTACCTAGGTCCTTGTATGTAGGGGGCTGTAGTCGCCCAGGTCCTTGTATGTAGGGGGCTGTAGTTACCTAGGTCCTTGTATGTAGGGGGCTGTAGTCGCCCAGGTCCTTGTATGTAGGGGGCTGTAGTTACCTAGGTCCTTGTATGTAGGGGGCTGTAGTCGCCCAGGTCCTTGTATGTAGGGGGCTGTAGTTACCTAGGTCCTTGTATGTAGGGGGCTGTAGTCGCCCAGGTCCTTGTATGTAGGGGGCTGTAGTTACCTAGGTCCTTGTATGTAGGGGGCTGTAGTCGCCCAGGTCCTTGTATGTAGGGGGCTGTAGTTACCTAGGTCCTTGTATGTAGGGGGCTGTAGTCGCCCAGGTCCTTGTATGTAGGGGGCTGTAGTTGCCCAGGCCCTTGCATGTAGGGGGCTGTAGTTGCCCAGGTCCTTGTATGTAGGGGGCTGTAGTCGTCCAGGTCCTTGTATGTAGGGGGCTGTAGTCGTCCAGGTCCTTGTATGTAGGGGGCTGTAGTCGTCCAGGTCCTTGTATGTAGGGGGCTGTAGTCACCCTGGTCCTTGTATGTAGGGGGCTGTAGTCGCCCTGGGTCCTTGTATGTAGGGGGCTGTAGTCACCCAGGTCCTTGTATGTAGGGGGCTGTAGGCGCCCAGGTCCTTGTATGTGGCTCTCCATTGTCTCTGTTTGGGTTTTGTCTTGAGAACAAGCGTCGTTAATAAGACAAACCTTCCGTTCTGATTCCTCTCCTGCAGCCTGTCGGGTTGTGACCTGACCTCCTCCTCCCTCGAAGAGTTGACCTCCGTGATCAATAAGAACCGATCTCTGACCAGACTGGATCTGTCGGGAAATAAGTATGAGGACGTGGGAGTGAAGAGACTATGCGAGGCCCTCCGAGATCCGGGCTGTACACTGGAGGAGTTCAGGTGATGTCCCCATTATAATGTATGGTAGCCTGCAGGACTCTGGAATAAACCTCCATGGTCATACGGGTCTTCTCTCCGGTATAGAGTGGGGTATTGTGAGATGACGGCTTCCTGCGCTGAGGAGTTCCTGGCCGTCATTAATACAAACAAGTCTCTGAAGGAGCTGGACGTATCGTTTGCCTACGAGGAGGAAGAACCCTTTGCAGATCTGGACTTTATGTTCCACAGATTCGAGCACCCGGCCTGCACTCTGGAGAAAAATAAGTAAGTGACCTTCTCCTTTACATGGAAGAACTCCGCCCACACCGGAGGTCCTCCCATTCAGGGTGCTCCGCCCTCCACTAATCCTTTGTCTTTCCTTGTAGTACCCAGGATGGAATGTTCATCTACTTCAAATACAGGAAACCAGAGTGATGACTGCGACGTCCCTGAGGGTCCAGACCCCTCCCATTGAAGGTAATTGGCTGATCTCCGGATCTGATTGGTGGAATTGAAGAGAAAACATACAACGCTGCCGTCCCAGTCACTTCCTGTATAAGTGGAGTATAAACTACAGGCCGCCCTTGTGAGAAGGTCCTGAAGGCCTGACACTGACCACCTCTCCACCTTAATCCAGCAGTGGAACCCTTGTCCTGCAATGGGTTTCTGCAATCGGACACCAATTCCTGGCATAAAAGTAGGTGACCAGGAGGTGAGGTCGGCCCTATTGGCGGATGATCTACTTCTCTTTACCTCCCACGTAGAGAAAGATAATCCCGATCATCCCTACAACACTTTGGTAAACTATCAGAGACCTCTATTGATAAGGGACTTCTATAGATCAATTATAGACAAAAGCAAAATGCTACTCCTGAGCCGATCAACGTTGCCGGAAGCTCGTAGGGCGGGGTTTCCACTTGGCCAAAGAGAACATCACCTACTTGGGAATAAAAAATAGGCAAAAACCCTTCTAGTATATATTACCTAAACTCGGGATGCACCGCAACATATCGGCCGCCGAAAGTGCCATTTTCCTGCCGATACGTCGGCGCATCCGTGCTTTCTCTCCCCCCCCGGGCGCTGCTCTGTGTCCCAGCGGGGAGGAGAGAAACTGTGATAGCCGGCCGAGCGCTGCGGGACGAGAGCTCTGTGAGCGGCCGGCGTCTCTCCTCCTGCTCCGCTCGATCAGCCTCCTGTGTCAGAGAGGAGAGCGGGTGATCGCTGAGTGTTTGTACATAATTGAGGACAGACTATGGTTACTATATCCCCAATTATGAATGAGTGGGAAGTGATCTACATCACTTCCTGTTCATTCATAGTTGTAGTTATAGTAACCATAGTCTGTCCTCGTGTTTATGAATGATCAGGAACACTCCATATAGAGGATTCCTGATCATTTATAACGGAGCCTGGAGAAAGAGATTAAGGACTCTGTGTTCTCTGAGGGCGGGCTGTGTGTGTGTTCTCTGAG